GAAAAACCATTGGTCTCACATGATCCCAAGTCTATATAATCAAGGGAAAATGAGGTGCTAATGTGAGATTTGAACACAAATTGGGGATTGAAAGTCATTTGTTATTGATATCCAAACGGTTAAAATGCAACTGATTAAATCTAGATAATGAAATATTCAATATAATGTAACTAATAAACTGTGAATCTGTATTTTAATAAATTCATTAAAAAGCATTTATAATAGTATAGAAGACGACTATAGAGATACATGACTCTAATGTAAGGACAAATGAGCTTAGGACACGTGTTGCAGCTACGGAGGTTCAAATGCGGTGACTCCGGGCTATCTGCAAAACAAGTAGTTGTCCTGGGATTAGTCGGCTCGCATAGCGGGTTGGATATCCAGGTTAATAAAAAAAAGACTTTTACAAAGAAAAAATCACATATTTTCTATTCTGAAATATAAATTATATATCAGATTCTAGCTATTAAATAATTATGAAGTAAGAACATTAGATTATAAAATAACCTGAAATAAAATGTGGCTTCTTGAAATAAAATGATAGAAGTTTCTGGATCCACCACTTTCAACATTTACTTTAATATATGAATCCACCTTATCATTATGATTGTTCTATATATATATAGGGGCCTAATCAAATGAGAACTAATTAGTTTGTCGTAACCGTGAGATCCAATCTTAAACACAAATCAATAGATACATTATGAAATTTATAATTTTGGTAATTTTGAATTAAAAATTTTAATGCAAGAATATTTTTGGTATTTTAAGTCTTATATATCAATATTTTATTATATCAAACTTTGTAATTGGTTCAAAATCATCAAAAAAAAACATGTGAAAATATAGATTATTATCATGAGTTGTATTAAGGGAATTGTTTTATCATAATACATATAAATTTTCTTTACATTCACACTGTTTTACCGAAAAATTTAAGTGTAAAAAGTTAGTCTTACAAGTTTTATAAAACAGATCAATCTCATGTAAATTCAACCTTATATATATTACTACATTGTTGCCATATATTTTATTATATTACATAGATTTGAGTTGCCACATTTGATAACAAAAAGATTCTAGAATTAAGCATGATACTTTATAATAATTAAATGCTTAATATTTAATTAAAATACCAACTTATTGAAACCTCAGAAATTATATTCCTCTCGGGTTTGCGCTTAATTAATTAAATAAACACCACAAGGGTCAATCACATGTGCCTCATTTAACTTGTATATATACACCCTTTCAATTCATACAATTTCAACCACAACACAAACCAAGATTACATCAATAAGCCATTCATTCATGGATTTTTCAAATCGTCTTAYTGAAAAAGACCTTGCATTCCCTCTCTTCGTGTTATCGACACTCGTTKTCCTCCTTTTGATCGTCAAACGAGCCAAATCGTTACTTTCTGATCGCATAAAAAACCTCCCACCAAGCCCGCCACAGTTACCCATCATCGGTAACTTGCATCAAGTGGGCAAAAACCCACATGTCTCCATAGCCAACTTCGCCCAAGAGTAYGGCCCGCTCATATCTCTYCGCTTGGGTAAGCAAATTCTCGTGGTGGCCTCATCACCAGAGGCCGCCAGGGGAATTCTCAAGACTCAAGACCGACTTCTTTCTTCTCGTTCGGTGCCTACTGCATTTCAACACCCRTCTATGTTACCACACTCCCTACTTTGGTCAGAGTGCAACCACTCTTGGAAAACCCTAAGAACCTTATGTCGCACCGAACTTTTTTCGGCGAAAGCGATGGAGGAGCACTCGAAGTTACGAGAGGATAAGTTAGATCGGTTGACGGATTTCTTGCACCGAAACCAAGGACGAGTGATTAACACCGAGACAATAGTGTTTACTACATTGTTAAACACATTGAGTTGCATCGTGCTGGGTAAAGATTTGCTTGATCTGAACGTCGAACATGAAGATGAACATGGGATTGGTGGCAAGTTGAAAGAATCGCTTCTTAAGATAAACGAGTACGGTGGCCATGTACGAGATTTCGGTTCGTTCTTTCCCATGTTTCAAAGCTTTGATCTTCAAGGAATAAAGCGGGGAAGCATGAACCATATGCAGAAGGTGTTTGCTTCTTGGGAGGATATAATAACAGAAAGAAGACATGTTCTTAATTCAGGGACGACTTTGCATTACGAGCAGACCAAATCTTTTGTGGATCATTTGCTTGAAAATGGATTTTCAGACAGCCAGATCAATCAGCTGGTTACGGTAAGCTGATCTGTTAGCTGTTTCCTGATCTTAAACTACAACTTCATTATCTAATCAGACGATCTTTTATGTTTTCAGGAATTATTCATAGCAGGAACGAACACTACCACCACGGCTATCGTATGGACCATGACCGAGCTCGTTAGAAACAAAGAGGTCATGTTGAGGTTAAACGAAGAGATGGAAAAAGCAATCGGTTTTGAGAAAATCACCGAATCCCAGCTATTGAAATTACCGTATCTACAGGCTTGTGTTAAGGAAGCTCTAAGATTACACCCACCTGTTCCTTTTCTTCTTCCTCATATGGCTGCAGAAACTTGTGACGTTATGAATTACACGATCCCGAAAAATGCACGAGTATTTGTCAACGTTTGGGCGATTGGCCGAGACCGTAATGTTTGGGAAGACCCGTTATCTTTTAGACCAGAGAGATTTCTCGAATCGAAGGTTGATCTAAAAGGGCATGATTTCGAGTTATTACCGTTTGGTTCGGGACGAAGAAGTTGTCCGGGATTACCATCGGGCGTCAAGAGTCTTGAGTTTTTGATAGCTTCATTGATTCATGAGTTTGATTTAGTTCTTCCAAACGACGAAGATCCTACGAAGATCGACATGAATGAGAAATTTGGGTTGACCTTGAAAAAGGAGAAACCACTAAACCTCATCTTCAAGAGTAAATGAGAGTGGTATTAATCCGTTATGCGTTTGGTACACGAGACAGGAGAGGACAGGACAGGACGAGATGAAACTCAGTATTTTTGTTGTTTTACTTATTGATTGATTTATTGTATGTTTTAGTGTTTGGATAAGAAGTGTCATGAATAAAATATATTTTGCAATTATGTCTACTTGCGGGCATCTCTACTTTTCATAAATATTAAGGTTGGCTTATTTAATAAGTATTTACTAACAAGATTTTCATCACTTTTACTAACTCAATGGGTAATATTTTCGGACATCAACCTCATTAACTATGTAAGACTCTCAATCCTTGTCTCCTTATAATCGGGTAAGATTCTCGTCCTTCCTATGTTTAACCAGTAAGGTAATTGATCTAGTAAATGCTTATCCGGTAAGTGTTTAATAAACGATCCTAAATCTCTTAAAAAATAAAGTGACTATTGTTTTCGGGCGACTCTCGATTTATGTTACAGTGATTAGAGGGTTAAGTTTATAATACAAATTATAAATGACAAAAAATAATAGTGTGTAATGGAAACGGGAAGTTTTCTTTGATTAACTGGGTACGTACTAACGGGATTCATTTAGGATTTCTCAAAGATAGAAACCCCCTTACAATCTAACAAAGAAGTTTAGTAAATTTAAATAGAGAATCTCAAGAAACAATCATTCAGATCTTCAAAAATAAATTGTGTAGTGCACCAACTTTAACTATTACAGAAAAAATCAAAGAATTTGTAGTGTTTAGTGATGCTTCTAAACTGTTGAAACAAGAAGTTGGTTCAAAGTTGTGCAAACTTTCCAAGTGTAAAAAGTGAAAACTTGATTTTATAAAGATAATAATCAAGTATTCTGTTAGAAATTAATGATTATCCTAATTATATTTTAATTTTTTTTATTTAAAATGAGATGTTTATCATATATTTGATTATGTTTATCTGTAATTAATTACACGAATTCAGATATGGAGCTTTAATAAGTTGTACTTACGCACAATCTNAGTTACGAGAGGATAAGTTAGATCGGTTGACGGATTTCTTGCACCGAAACCAAGGACGAGTGATTAACACCGAGACAATAGTGTTTACTACATTGCTAAACACATTGAGTTGCATCGTGCTCGGTAAAGATTTGCTTGATTTGAACGTCGAACATGAAGATGAACATGGGATTGGTGGCAAGTTGAAAGAATCGCTTCTTAAGATAAACGAGTATGGTGGCCATGTACGAGATTTCGGTTCGTTTTTTCCCATGTTTCAAAGCTTTGATCTTCAAGGAATAAAGCGGGGAAGCATGAACCATATGCAGAAGGTGTTTGCTTCTTGGGAGGATATAATAACAGAAAGAAGACATGTTCTTAATTCAGGGACGACTTTGCATTACGAGCAGACCAGATCTTTTGTGGATCATTTGCTTGAAAATGGATTTTCAGACAACCAGATCAATCAGCTGGTTACGGTAAGCTGATCTGTTAGCTGTTTCCTGATCTTAAACTACAACTTCATTATCTAATCAGACGATCTTTTATGTTTTCAGGAATTATTCATAGCAGGAACGAACACTACCACCACAGCTATGGTATGGACCATGACCAAGCTCGTTCGAAACAAAGAGGTCATGTTGAGGTTAAACGAAGAGATGGAAAAAGCAATCGGTTTTGAGAAAATCACCGAATCCCAGCTATCGAAATTACCCTATCTACAGGCTTGTGTTAAAGAAGCTCTAAGATTACACCCACCTGTTCCTTTTCTTCTTCCTCATATGGCTGCAGAAACTTGTGACGTTATGAGTTACACGATCCCGAAAAATGCACGAGTATTTGTCAACGTTTGGGCGATTGGCCGAGACGGTAATGTTTGGGAAGACCCGTTATCTTTTAGACCAGAGAGATTTCTCGAATTGAAGGTTGATCTAAAAGGGCATGATTTCGAGTTATTACCGTTTGGTTCGGGACGAAGAAGTTGTCCGGGATTACCATCGGGTGTCAAGAGTCTTGAGTTTTTGATAGCTTCCTTGATTCATGAGTTTGATTTAGTTCTTCCAAACGAAGAAGATCCTACGAAGATCGACATGAATGAGAAATTTGGGTTGACCTTGAAAAAGGAGAAACCACTAAACCTCATCTTCAAGCGTAAATGAGAGTGGTATTAATCCGTTCTGTATCGTTGCGGTACACGAGACAGGACATGACAGAACGAGATAAAACTCACTATTTTTTTTATTTATTGATTGATTTATTGTATGTTTTAGGGTTTGGATAAGAAGTGTCATGAATAAAATATATTTTGCAATTATGTCTACTTGCAGGAATCTCTACTTTTCATAAATATTAAGGTTGGCTTATTCAATAAGGACTTACTAACAAGATTCATCACTTTTACTAACTCATTGGGTAATATTCTCGGACATCAATCTCATTAACTATGTAAGACTCTCAATCCTTGTCTCCTTATAATTGGGTAAGATTCTCGTCTTTCCTATGTTTAACCAGTAAGGTAATTGATAAGGTAAATGCTTATCCGGTAAGTGTTTAGTAAACGACCCTAAATCTCTTAAAAAATAAAGTGACTATTGTTTTCGCCAAAACTCGCGTATGGGCGACTCTCGATTTGTGTTACAGTGATTAATTAGATGGTTAAGTTTATAATACAAATTATAAATGACAAAAAATAATAGTGTGTAATGGAAACATAAAGTTTTCTTTAATTAACTGGGTACGTACTAACGGGATTTATTTAGGATTTCTCAAAGATAGAAACCCCCTTACAACTTAACAAAGAAGTTTAGTAAATTTAAATGGAGAATCTCAAGAAACAATCTTTCAGATCTTCAAAAATAAATTGTGTAGTGCACCAACTTTAACTATTACAAAAAAAATCAAAGAATTTGTAGTGTTTAGTGATGCTTCTAAACTGTTGAGACTGTTGTTATGACTCAAGCTCTACCCCATGATATTGTCAAAAAGTGAGGAAACATGGTGTTGAGAAGGCAAGTAGGCAAGCATAAGAAGTTATAACAGACTATTAACCAAACATATTAAGGCATCAAAATTCTTTAAAAAGAAGTATTATACAAAAAGGGTTCTTAGGAATACAATCATTTAAAACTGATATGATATACAAGGAACTGTGAAATTGAAGATAAAAAAAGTTCAAAAACGGCGTCTTAATCTCTATATTTGGAACTTACAGCGAGAGCATTTGAAACTAGTTCAAGATGCATGATATGATTTGTCAAGTTTGAAACCGCGTTTGTCACGTTACGCTTTGTCACATACATGAGGTCTGAGATTGAAACACCCTACAAGACAATTTGAGACAGAGTCGATCTTCAAAAGTTGATGTTGACAAAAGATTTCAAAAACAAATTGAAACCGTTTGTGTTTGTGAGTTGGTGCGAGAGATAAAAGGGCATCTTAGATTATCCATAATCCATAGCCTCCAATGCAACAGCTAGTATGTTACACTATCTATCTATCTATTTATATATATATATATATATATATATATATATCGATGTAGAATTGAGATTATAGAAACATAAATAAGAAATTCGACCAAAAAAACATCTGAAAATTGCCTAAAAGATGATCAGACTGCATGATACAAAATTTGAATCCCCAAGCATGCAACTCACTTAATGCATTGGAAAAAGAGTTGCCACATTTGATATATAACAAAAAGATATTCTAGAATTAAGCATGATACTTAATTTGTAATAATTAAATGCTTAATATTTAATTATAATACCAACTTATTCAAACCTTAGAAATTATATTAATTCCTCTTGGGTTTGCGCTTAATTAATTAAATAAACACCACAAGCTTGGGTCAATCACATGTGCCTCATTTAACTTGTATATATACACCCTTTCAATTCATACAATTTCAACCACAACACAAACCAAGATTACATCAATAAGCCATTCATTCATGGATTTTTCAAATCATCTTATTGGAAAAGATCTTGCATTCCCTCGATCTCTTCGTGTTATTGTAAGAATTGTTACATTTTATATTTATATTATTTAAACAAACACTTAAAATGATGTTTATGTATTTATTTATTTGAAAACAAATAAAATATGATATTCATGTGGTATTTGTGTGTGTATTTATTTGCTTTTAAAAAACGTTAAATGAGATATAATATATTGATGAGATAAAAAACGGAATAGAAAACGAAATGTCTAGAACATTTATGAGTTAATGAAAGATAATTAATATAACCAACAAATAAATCCAAAATAAATCTAAAAATTTGAAAAAAAAAATGAATTATGAAATAATTTTTATAAAAAATGTCACATAAGAAACTTCATGTTTTACTTTTAGATTTATATAAAATAATGATGTCAAATGCTTAATGATAAATATGTATTCCATTATAAGAAGACTTCTTTGACCACTTCCAACTTCATTAGCTTTAACTTTCACATTACATAACTTTATATTGATATTCATTATACTATTTTCATCTACTAATTAAAATAAACTTACAATGTATGTTGTGGCACATTGTCACAAGATGATTTTTAAAAGAGATTTTCTCATTTGCTTTTAATTTATGAAATGTTAAATAAGTTAAATATATTTTTACCCGTGAATGAAAAATGTGTATTTCATTATTTTCTCCAAAACGAAAACAAAATTTTTCAAGCCAGAGATGTCCTTAATTGAGCATTTGGCATTATTATTTTCTATAAATCTAAAAGTAAAATATGAAGTTTTCTTATGTGACAGAAAAGTTATTTCATAATTCATTTTTTTTTTCAAATTTTTAGATTTATTTTGGATTTATTTTGTTGGTTATATTAATTATCTTTCATTGACTCATAAATGTTCTAGACCTTTCGTTTTCTATTCCGGTTTTTATCTCATCTATATATTATATCTCATTTAACATTTTTAAAAGCAAATGAATACATATACAAATACTACATGAATATCACATTTTATTTGTTTTCAAATAAATAAATACATAAACATCATTTTAAGTGTTTGTTTAAATAATATAAATATAAAATGTAACAACTCTTACATGAATTTAGGGGTAGAATAATATAACTTATTTAATATTATAAAAACATTGACAAATCATGGAGAAGCACATAAAAGTGTTTAAAGGTTTTATCTTCAAGAACGAAGAGAAAAAGGTTGGAGGTTAAACTTTTTAAAATTACCAAAACAACCTTATTTTAATGAATTTCATGTTTTAAAAATAGGGATGAAAAAATATTTTACATATCAAATATTTAAAAAAAATCAAAAATCTAGGAAAAAAGTAAGATAAGTTTATAATATTTAGAGAAAGACACCTATTGTATTTGGTTTCTCCTTTTATTTTTATATATATATATATATATATATATATATATNCAAACACAAGAAAAATTCATATAAGACAAGAAATATATAGAACATACTATAATGTTTCAATGAATCCATACATCCGTCCAATGTATCAAAAAAATTTCAAAATCATATTACAACAATCTAAAATTTTCTGTCTTTTTCTGCAACAAATCAATGTCAAGGAAAATTCAATTCATTTCTTTAGCAGATTATCAAATCCATGCATATGTAGATCTGTGGTGCAATCTATAACACCAATTTGGAGAAGTCCACTTTTTCCGCCGGAAAAAGTGGCGCCGATGATTGGATTTTCGGCAGCAAAAGCAGTGGATTTTATCAATTTCCGGCGGACCCGGCCGCCTGTAATTCCTCACCGGTTTATTTTTATAAAATCTTGATTAAATTAACAAAATGGTTAAGTTTTTTAAAAAAAAATTATTTACCGCCGGAACCTTTTTTCGTCGGAAAATAATTAATCTTTTTAAAATATATATATTTAATTTTTAAAAATACGGGCGGAATATTCCGCCGGAAATCCGCCGGAACCGTTTTTCGTCGGAAAATAATTAATCTTTTTTAAAAAGAATATATATTTAATTTTTAAAAATACCTGTGGAATATTCCCCAGAAATCCGCCAGAAAGTTTTAAAAAAATAATTCTAAATATTTGAAAAAAAAAGATTTTTAATATTTGGAAACACTACCCGCGGACTATGCCGCCGGAAATCCGTTGGAAAATAATATATAAATATTAATATTTTATTTTTATATTAAAATTAATATTTAAAACCTGTATTAAAACCTGTAAATCTGTACAATATTAAAAATGAAACTAAAAAGGCAAAATAGAACTAAATATCATACATTAATTAAAGTGAAATTACAATTATTCCAACCGAACGAATACTAAATTGTTATAAACAAAACTAAATTGTTTCAAACAAAAGACAATATTCAATATGGTGGGGGCGGGGGGAATTGGTGAGATTCACTGAGCTGTCTTACAAAATCAGCCATATCTTGAATTTTTTTTATCCTGTTGCTCCTCCTTCAATCGATGTCGCTCCTCCTCCATTCGCTGTCGTTCCTCTAAAGTTCTAAGTTGGGTCTTTAAGGTTTGAATTTCCTATAAAATAAATAAAACGTTATAATATTTAATATGAATTACAAACTAAATTGATAAAATCATCAAAGCAAAAGATGAACATACCCGACCCTCTGAAGATGAACCACCTTCCGTGTAGTTCCCGGTCACGACATAATTGGGATCTTGGTTGTACCCAAACCCAAATAAACGGCCTTTCTTGCTTCCCCCAACCGCTTGCTCTCACAACTCTTTATCAACTAAGGGATAGGTGGAGGGATCATCGTCGTATCTTTGGGTGAGACCAGTTGAATACCCATCCTATATATAGTTTAAAAAATATTGCAAATCAATTTTGACAACATAACGGCTGTAAATGAGACGTTTCCAAAACAATCCTAACGTTTGCCCAATTATAAATGACAACCCAAACTAAATAATGACATATAGCAATTTCTAACTTAAACAATCCTAATGTTTGACCAACAAATGACAACCCAAACTAAATAATGATATATATTTAAAATTTAACTTAAACAATCCTAATATTTGTCCAACAAATGGCAACCCAAACTAAAGAATGATATATATACGTAATTTCTAACTTAACAAATTATAATGTTTGCCCAACAAATGGCAACCCAATTATAATAGACATATATACTTACCATGACTTGGCTACACTTTGTGGTCACGTACCC